TCCGGTACCAGGAACCGAACTCACGACCTTGCGCTTGCCAGGCAGGCGCTTTTGCCGCTGAGCTAAATCCCCAGCCCCATCTTCTTACATTTTAATATCCGAAATTGCACATTTTAGGACTCCTGTGATACTTTGATGCCATAATTAATAAGAGTTTTCCCTATGATTCTGTCATTATGGAATTTGTATTTCATACTTTCTACTCTTGCTAGGAATCTTAGAATGCAGACTGAAAATTGCCTCGATTTTAAATAATATCTCTATCATTCTCTGAAAAACCTTTTAATTTTCAGTTGTCTTGCATCCTGATGGGCCTGTCAGGGTGAAATATCTGTTTATTTTATTGAAAGAAAACATTTGTGCATCAGATCTAAATTTAAACTTCAGTCAATAATAACATTCCAATGTTTTTAATCCATCCATAAAATAGCTTTTGATTTAGTCCCTCAAAGTGTTCGGTAGGTAAAAGAAAAATATATGAAAAGATTTTATTTCTTTCTTCAGTTATTAGACAAACATTTTCACAAGATACCATGCTTGATAAAGAATATTCATGGTAAATAAAAGAGATAAGGTATCTATTGCCGTATATCTTAGAGTACAGCAAAAAAGACTGACGAAACAAATAAGCTTAAAAATAAATGTAATTATAAAATTTTCTTAATACTAATCAAAAAAGTGTGACATTAAAAGGAATAAACAGTGAAAATTGCCTTGGGATTGAAGTGAGCGGCAGCAAGACTTAGAGTATTTCTTAAAAGAAATGACATTTGTTTTAACGATCAAGTATCCAAATGAAGTGATTTTCAGGGAGGGGTTTTAGATGCCCAAGTCTGCAGGCAGGGATGGGCTAGTGCATTCAAGAAATGGAAACAAGCAGTTTGTTTGGAAGGCACTGAAATGGATGTGGCGCAAAACACAGAAAAGATTAGAAAGTTAGAGAAGGAACAGATCATCCAACTCCAACGGTGAAGTTAATCATTCAATCTAATAAAACTGAAAACACATAAAGACTTGCATATAGGTCTTCAAAATTATATACACTGTGTTAGTTAATTTCTCTTATTTCTGAGATGAAATACCCAACATCCAAGGTTAAAAGAGGAAAGGTTTATTTAGCTCACAGTTTGTAGAGGTTTCAATCCATAATTGGCTGACTCTAAGGCAGGGTGGTATATAGCAAAGGGGCAATATTTCATGGCAGAGGAAGATATCAAAAGCAAAAAAGAAGAGGACAAGCTTCTTTCTCTCCCTTGTATTGTATGCCGTCTACCTGCCCTAGGGCACATGTAGCGCTCACATCCTTAATCCAAGCATTAGACTGTGAATCAATCTGAAACTCTAGATTCAGCCACCTCTGAAAAACCTGCCACTCATGACTGCATGAGGCTTTGGGTGGACATCCAGACACAAACCATAACATTCTACCCCTCATCCCCCAAAGACTCATGTACCTTGCTTTATACAAAAGGCATTTAGTCCATCTCTAAGAGTTCCCAAGGTCCTAACAGTTTCAGCATTATGGAGAAGTCTAAATCCCAAGTCTCCTCTGAGATGTAAAGCAAGCTCAAACTAAAGCAAACTCCCTTGTACAAATGAAAAGAAAGTTAAATACTTCCAACATTCAATGGTGTAAAGCAAACATTTCCATTCCAAAAGTTATAAACAGGGAAATACAAATGAATGGACCAAAGCAAGTCCAAACTCCAGAAGGGTAAATATTAAGTTCTGTAGTTCTATGTGCAGCATCCCAGGCAATCGGTGCATGATGTGAACTTCAAAGAGCTTGGATGGCTCCAGCCCTACAGCACTTCCTTTGGTTGTTGCTCCCAAATTTCAAGGGTCTGTACTGCACCTTTGACTTCACACTCAGAATATCACACACTGCCCTCTCAGGGCCAAACTGCCTTACCTCCCAGGCCTTCTGAAATCTGAATGGAGGCCTTCCTGACCCCACAAATGTTCCATTCTGCATGCACTTAAAACTAGCACTATGTGGATGATGTCAAGGTCTGTTGTCAACTGGAGCAGTGGCTGGGCTTCCCTCTTTCTTGGCTGCAGGGATTGAGTGATTGGATTGCTGGACACTCTAGATACAATTCTGAGGAACAAATTCTCTATGCTGCCCTCATTCTGGAACATGGTGTTCTGTGGCTTTATTCTCAAAGCAAAATATTTCATTTTCCTAATTTTGAGATTGCAAATGTTAGAGTCTTGTTGCTTCTTGGGATGCCCTCAGGCCATCATTTCTATTCTGTTCCTCCTCAACAATTGAGATCTCCTCTGCTATGTCTTTGCAGCCAACGCTTTACTGGAGCATCCTTTTTGGCAACACTTACAATGTTTTGAATCATTCTGCTGGGGTTGTTGCTCTTGATTCTCTATATAAATCTGGTTAAAAGCCTCAAAAGTAGCCCTGCTACCACCTCAAGGTTAGACTGCCTTAAAATTTATTCTGTAAGATTAATCAATCTACTGCCCTTAATCTCAGTCTGGATACATGCAGACAATGCAGAAAACTTTCTTCCAAGCTGTAACACACATCATCTGGATTCCAGCAGCCAGTGCAGTTCTTCTTCCCAGCAGAAACTCCTGAGCCTGGTCTTCTAAACTTTGACCAGAATCTTCCATATGGTACAGCCTAAGCCAATCCAGTGCTACTTTTTCAACCAGTATCTCAGAATCTTTCCAAACTCTTCACATAAGTCATACCCATAAAGCTCCTGAACCACATGTTCAGGAATAGTCATAGCAATGACCTCATTTCTCTGGTACCAAATTCTGAAAATACCCAACACCCATGATTAAAGGAGGAAAGGTTTTTTTTAGTTCACAATTTGTAGAGATTTCAGTCCATAATCAGCTGGCTCTAAGGCAGGGTAGCAGATTGCAGAGGGATGACAGTTCATGATAGGGGAAAATAGCAAAAGCAAAAAGAGAGGAAGGGGCAGCAAGCCTCTTTCCATAACAAATGTAGTATGCATACTATTGCCCTAGGGCGTGTATAGCATTCACACCTTTAATCTCAGCATTTGATGATGAATCAATCACAAACTCTAAATTTGGCCACCTCTGAAAAGCCCACACCCCATGACCACATGAGGCTTTTGGGGGGGGACATTCAGACATCCATCATAACACACATATAAGTATGATGACCTGGTTATCATCTGCTTATACTTCTAAAACCTAGTTCATTACAAGTTAACTACTGGCTAACACATTACTTATTTTGTTACTTCAGAGACATAGCTAGTTCCACCTTAGTACAAAAGTGTCCCCCCAAAAGTAGAGACTTTCTTTATTGCCAAACTGTACACTAAGTTACAAAAAATCAGTTCAGTCTTATTAGTTTATACTCAATAGATTTTAGCTTCTTAAATTAAACTCTTATGACAGTTTTAGAAGATACTCTTCTATTATTAATGATAGTTATATTTATTGTGTTAAAAAGTGATTTAATCAACATTACCACTTGTGAGAAAATTTACTAACCTCTCACCAACATTTGAGTTTAGTAAAAAAGAATATTTTGTGAAACTAACTATAGAATAAAAATATACACTTGAGTTTGTCAATGATTTTCAATATGATAAATCTTTATTTAGCTTCCATTGTGTCTGTGGTGGGGAGGGGTAGATACATGGGAGGAGAACACACAAGCAAGCAAATACATGAAATGAGGTAAATCTTCCACAGTAGAAAGAAAGAAAGAAAAATAAGATTCTAACAAAATAGAAAATGTGAAGCGGTAAGTAGGCAATACTAGTCTGAAAGTGTACTGGAAGTCGTATGATAAGAGTCTGAAGAAGCCCATGGAGTTCAGGCTTGCTGAAGATGGTATATTATAGGGACTGCAACTAAAGTTAGGAGGTAGTCATGAGGAGGGATATCCTCAAAACTGAGATTTAGGGATGTGTGTGTTGAGTGGTATAACTGTGGATTGGAGACAATACATAAGATCTTAGAAGCGGTCAAGATAATGGATAGCCATTGAATAGGTAATAATTACTGTTGCCCAAATATATGTACCTCTTTTTTAAAAAAAACCCTCAAAATAATAACACTTTTATAAGGTGGACAGTTCACTTGAGGCTTTGCACTCAGTCATGAGAAAAATTGACACAAGAATGCTTTAATATTGAACTTAATTTGGTATTTTAAAGACATCTAATGTTTGTTTGTCTTTTTCTTATTTCAGGAATGTTCTACCCGAATTGAAATCACTTGCAATGGGGTTCCATTCACTGATTATGCGTGGAATAGGTATTAAATTGATTAAATCCAGCATGTAAATATTCATGGCATAGCTCAGAAACTGAATACAACTAATTTCTAATTGTAAGAAACCATAAGGAAAGCACAAGTGATAAGAATTTCAGTTTTCATGGAAAACTGAGCTACCTAAAAGAGAATTTGACTACTGATTCTAAAACCAATCTGTTAAGACCAAGGAATCATTATATTTTTAGTACATGTATAATACAAAGAGAGGCAGTCCCCAAAGACTTTCACTTAAGAATATTTATTCTAGGTAGGCAAAGTGGAGGGCCTTTGTTCTAAATTAAAATATGTGGGTAATGCTAGAGTCAGGTTGAAAATTCTGGGAGTTTGAAAGTTGAGGTTGTGAAAAATAAAAACTAATAGTACATGCACAGCTCTCCGCTGCTAAGTCTTGTAAGTCCGGGTAGTTAATCTTGACCAGAAGTTAAAAATGGACAGAAGAACAAGAACCCTAACTCTGTGATTAGGCATCTGGGATGAAGAGAACATCTAGGTGAACAAAAGCTTAGGATGTTCTGAATTTTATTAGCAAAGAGTAAATTCCAGATGTTAAAGGTTTGTTTCTAAATATCCAAATGAGTTGATTTTTCAGAGATTTAGGAAATCATCCTCTGGCATTTATTGCCATTTTCCATTTTTGCCTCCAGCTGCCTTTATTTTAAAAGTGTCTAAATCTTGTGGTATCCCTTTGTAAGATTTACAAATAGTATTCACTTATGCCTAGAAAAGGGGAAGCCTTCATCTAGGGACACAGCAGAGGGCTAATCCTGGGCCAGAGGCAACCACTGACAGTAAAAGGAAAAGGGTGTAGGAGGGGCTAGTCCCTGTAACCTCTGGAAATCAAGGAAAGAAGTACAAGACCATGGCCAAATTACAAGGGAAACCTAGGTAGGAAGTGTATTTCAGAAGAAAGTCACAGATCCTTAAAGGTGAGAAGAGCTGTGGGGAATGCCAGGGAGGAGAAGAAGGAGGCGCTGTGGGATTCTGACCCAGCCTTCTTCCCAGCATTCTTTGCTGTGCATCTCTCTCTCTGGCAGCCTTTGTACCTGCTAGCACTTCCCTACCTAGCAGAGGTGGCTCCCTCCTAGGACCATAGAAACCACAGAAGTCAAAAATAGAATCTGGGTTGTTAGTACTCCTTGGCATATGCTGAAATGAGACTCTCGGAATAGACGTAAGTGTCTCACCCCTTATATTCAATACCACCTTCCTCAGATTTTTGTTTTTCAGTTATCAGTCCCTCATCATTCTAAGATTTCTTTATTTCAAAAATTGAGCCGAATTAAAATAAAATGGAATAGAAGTATGATATATTAACCAGTGTCATTCTTACATGAAAAATTTTTTTAAAAATCATTGTCAAAATAGAAAAAAAGAACAAAGTAAAATCATAAGTACATCATTTCTACCATCTCAAGGATGGATTCTATCAGTTTGTTTGGCAAACATTTATCACATCAAAGTAGTGAGGATCAATGGAGAATACCATCCAGCTTCACTTGAAACTTGCCATGGATTGATGGCCTGTTATCTCATGTTGCAGGAGGAATTCTAGCTCCAATATATTTTGGGGCCATGATTGATAGAACATGTTTAAAGTGGTCCACCACCAGCTGTGGAACCCGAGGGGCCTGTAGGATCTATGATACAGTATCATTTGGGTAAGTTGTCTTATACGTATCTCATTAGTTTATTTTTCTTTTGACTGTGTTATGTATTAATTCCTAAAGGATAAGATTTTCAGTATAATTCAGTATTGTATCAAGTAATCTGTCTTTTTCTTGTACATAGAGACTGTAGGAAATGTTTTATCTCTTCCGCTTTAGTATGAAAGAATTAAGGTGCACGTATATTTGTCCAAGTTCATACCACTAAAAGAAGAAGAGCTAGGATTTTGCTCATATCTTTTTGTTTCCAGAAATTCTCTTCACACCAAAAAGCTCTCACTGTAATTTTTGCAGGGAACAAGATCTATATGGGTAGGCTCCTCTAAGAAGACATATGCAGTCTGATTGTGAGACACAGGGTATTGTAATTTTTTTAATGTATTACATTGAGAAAGATTTCATTAATCTCCTTTAAAACACTCACCTCTTCTTCCAGTATGCTTATCCCATCATTCTTTCCACTTTCTGAAGCAGTTCTGGAAGTTCCCATTCGTGAGTATCTTTAGTTCCCCCAGTGTGTCTGTCCCAGTGTCCTGAGTCCATATGTTTATTTCAGCCTTATAATAAAACACATTTTCACATAATGTAGAATTCTAAACTGGCAATTGTTTTCACTTGACACATCAAAGCCATCAGTAGAGTGTTTTCAAATTTTCAAATTTCTGTTACCAAGTTAGCTATTGTCTATTTGTCTTATTCTTTTAAGGTAATTGGTCTTATCCATGTACTTTCTTTGGATAAATATCTTCCCTTCAGATGTAGTATTCAACAGCTTCACCGTAAAGGACTTAAGTTAGGGCTTCTTACATATCCTGACTTAGAATCAGTGGACTTTTGAAATCTGTGGCTTGGTGTCTGTGTTGTGCACAAAAATGCTCCCTAAAGATACCTGTGTCACAATCCCTGCAACTGTGAAAATTCTCTGTTAAGGTCTGAGGCAGAATAAAGCTGCTAATCGACTGACCTCGGACAGGAAGATTATCAGTTAGGGTCTAAGGTAAACATAGGATCTTTAAAAATAGAAGAGGAAGGCCATTAATACTGAGTTTAAAGATGGAGTGAAAGGGCCAGGAGACATGGAATGCAACTTAGAATTTGCATTCTGTGCTATTTCTGTTGAGTGAAGTAGCTTACAGATGTCTATTATATTCTGTAAATTGATAGTACTATTGGGTCCAACTATGTCCTTACTTATGTTTGCGTGCTTGTTCTGTCCATTTCTCAAGTGCCAATTATATTAGAACATTCATCTATTTCTCTTTGCAATGATTGTTGTGTCTTCTTAAATGATAACAAGAGAACTGACAGTTTTAGCACTGTCTAAGGTTTTATTAAATCCCTGACAACTTTTTTTGAAGAGTGATCTATTTGAAATTAATGTGGCCATTCTTGCTTTCTTTTCTTAGCATCCGCGTGGTATATCTTAATTTATTTACTTTGTTCTTTACAAGTCTTTATATTTAAACTGGATTTTGTGTAGACTCTTTCTCAGTTTGGCCTTATTTTTCATCTCCAACAATCTTGATCCTTTCCTTGATACACTTAGATCACTGAAAATCAAAATGATTACTAATATACTTGGATTAATATCTAACATATTTTTACATTTTTCTGTTTGTTTTTGTTTCCATTTTATCGTCAATTCTTTTTCTGCCTGTACTAGTTTTAATTAAGAATTTTCTATAATTCCATTTTTCTTTGTTAGTATATGTTGTACACTATTTTTCAAAATTTCAAGGTTGCCTTCTAGTTTGCCTTATAAACTATGCCCCCATAGTTTGCCATTTCTAACTAATGCAAGTTCAATTTCCTACAATTATACCATTATTTACAGTAACACAGAACCATAATTCGTATTTTCTATCCCTTTCCTGATTGCTGTTATCTATTTCATGTCTATGTAAACATGCATAAGCATATTCATATATGTATAATCAAAAATATCATTGCAGTTATTTTGAACTCGTATCTTAGATACATTAAGAACAGAGAAATAAAAGTTTTTCTTTTACTTTGCTTTATTCCTTTTACAATGTTCTTTCTCTTATGTAGAGCCAAGTTTCTCACTTACAGATATTCCTGGGTATATGATGGGGTGATGTTCTGATAAAACTCATTATAATTTGAAAATAGTATCTAAAAGGTACAATAGATATTGCAAAAGGGAAAGAAACTTCTCAAAAGGAAAGAACAACTGGGGTGAGGGAAAAAAGAAAAGAAAGAAAGAAGGGAAATATTTGTATATGTATACACAGGACAGCTAAGGTAATTGTACTCTTGATTTCTATTGCTTTATTGAAAGGAACAATTAATGTTTAATTGTTTGATCAATCTTACATGCCTATATTTGTTTATCTGAATAATCAATTTGAAGATAACAATTTGTACTATAACAACCATTGTTAATTTCCTATCACCTTGTCTGAAATTCAGTATTGCTTTTATTGTTTTTGTGTTGTTTTGCTTATGTTCATGTGTTTATTAATATGTCTTCATTCTTTTATCTTTAGAGTGAAAGAAAAGAAAATAGTGTTAGTCAAAAATGTATTTAATACACCTTACCTAGCCTACGAAACATCATAGCTTTGAGTAGCTTACTTTATAAGTGCTAAGAACACTTACATTAGACTACAGTTGAGCAAACCATGTAAAACCAAGCCAATGTTATAAAAAATTTTTGAGTATCTTATGCACATACATGGAGAAGCTATAGTTAATCATACCATTATAAACTACAGACAGTTAAGACTGAAGAAAAAAACCTTGAAAGAAATCAACAGGAAAGAATCTTCCTTACAGAGGAGGAAAAGATTACATTTGACTTCTTACTTAGAAATCATCTGAGCAAGAAGAAAAAGTGAAATATTCACAGGATGCTCAGACAGCACTTTTGTACACATGATAGGATGTGAAAATACTAAACACAGTATCCAAAAACTGCTAGCAGCACAGTGCCCTGCAAAGTGCGGGCTGCTTACTGTGTGACTGTGCAGCTGACCAGGAGCTACAGCATGTGGTTGCTGCTCAGGACCCCAGGAGAGTGTCATGCCACTTACCCCTAGCAGGAAACATTCCAAATTAAAAGTATAGCTTCTATGGAATGTGTATTACTTTAGCATCACTGTAAAGCTGAAAATTGCCAATCAAACTACCATAAATTGAGAGGTATCTGTGTAAAATTTTTCTTCTAACTAACAAACTTCATTTAAAATTTTCATTTTTGTTCATCAATCAGGAAGGTTCTTTCTTTCTTCCTTCCTTCCTTCCTTTCTTCCTTTCTCTCTCTCTTTCTCTTTCTTTCTTCTTTCTT